CGTTATTACAATAAAGTCCCAGAAAATATACAAGGTCTCTTTATTACCAAGTTTAAATATTTAATTAAACAAAAACTGTATAAAAAGGGCTATTATGATTTAAATGATGTATTTATATGGATGGTTGATAATAACCCCTGGGAATGAGGTGATCGCTTCCAAGCTGTTTCTAAAATAGATTTTCTAAATATTTTGTGACATTGTAAAATTTATTTAAAAAAAGTCCCGCTGGGTTTTTTGCTGGTCCTTCCCGGGGCAAAGGTTTTTTTCGAACCAGTGATAAAGTAAAAAATTGACTTCCAATAACAATTACTTGTAATCTATATTGAATAAAAAATATTTTATTCTAATGTATTCTATTCAATTCATCCACCGACACTACACTCAATTGTATGTTGCAAAGCTTCACGCATAATCGCCTAACGGATTTGCATAAATTTTTAAACAAGATTAGATGTCGTAGTGCTTTTTTCTTAAATATAAAAGTTACAGCGGCAAAATGACCACAAAGTCAATTTTAATTTCAAGAGAGTGGCGCTACGGGTAGAATCTAATATACTTTAAAGGCACAGATTAAGTAATAGCTACTTAAGATCTCAACTTATAGTAATGATTATAGTGTTTTAGCCTGTTTTAATCACAACTCGCTGACACAGCTTTTTCTTTCAGAACTATAACGTCTAGTGGATAGCGTAAGAAGCGATTTGAATTGCCAAAAAAGTCTCATGTCCAATAGATGGTGGCAGTATCACCATCAAGTATAATTTTGGAAGAAAAATTACCTAGACCGCAACAGGCGAGGTTTGTAACTCTTTTCTTTTCTTCCATTGTTATTAACGAACAATAAAGCAGATTATATTTCTGAACATTGAGCTAATTACAACCTCAAATAATGTGCAATAAAAACAATGAGTATGAATGATTTTTACTATAACGTAGTTAGAAAGTTGAATTTATGTATATATTTTGTTTTATTTTATTTTATTTAAGTAGGTTTTAGGGATATAAATCGAATATCGTAAGGAATATGTATCTATTACTTAACTAAATATTAAGTTCATTGCTATACTGACCGCGCAGAATCCTTTTATAACACGCACTACAAACAACGCCCAGAAGTCGTAGTAAGCCGATGCAGGAGTCAGGCAGTTCAAAATACCAGACACCATACCAGCAATACCTACTACCCAAGTTGGCCCCAATCTGAAGAGATTTATCGAAATGAATTAAAATTAAATTTATTTTTTGCAGAAAAATGGTGATAAACTTTTAAATGTCTTAAGTGTTCACATATTTTGTCGGCAAATGTCTTTCCGTCGACGTCAATGTCTGTTAAATTTAAATTGTTTTTTTTTTTATGTAGCATACTAAATTTTAAAACATTTTATTGAATATCAATAACGATTAAGAGAGAGACAAATTTCAGATATATTATTATCTTCATCACCATCATCATCATTACAACCTACCACCAGTTCCCTGCTAAATAATGTCACAAAACACGGTCCTAAGCCACTTGTCCTCGTATTCATCGAATGGTAAGACGAGCAGTTTCTTACCTCTCTATCTAGTGGATTACTACCCTAAACTTCGTTTACCGGTACAAGGTTCCACTTGAAAACCTTTCTTACCTTTCGATTGCCGATTTTTCGAGCTTTATGGGGAGCCCATCGCCAGAATAACCCCTTGGGCTACGTCGGTAACAATGGTTCTACTGCGAATATCTTTATTTTTAAATTATATCTTGCTTAAAATCTCTGAGCATAACCTTCACCATAGATTGCTGAGCAACCACGTGGTAGAGCTCTACCACGTATAAGGGGTAGATCCAAGCTGCAGCTATATCATGGTTGTAGCACGAATGCGTTAGCACGACCGGAGAAGAACTACGCTCTCACTGAATACCAGCGAGGTATAGCAGCTTAATTCCGCTGTGTTTCGTATAGTGAGTATAAAGAACCAGAGACCACTAACTGAAAAGGAGGCATTCCACATTGGTCCTAAGAGTAAAAATGTATCTGGATCCTACTACACAAACACTTCAGTACATCGTTCCTAAGATATTTAATGCTTTGTTCTCTTTCAAATTATAAGGGATCGAACCAGGAACTAGTTCGACCTCTATTGCTCTAAATTTGGCTGAGGACCGTAAGTCAATTCAACACCGCTAGAGAGACTACAACACAGTCGGTCTACAACTTAGATATGCGCTATATGTATATTACTTGGTCCATGCTTAGACTTAGAGATGTGTCTTCAGGAAAGAGCCACCTCTCTTTCCTGAAGACAGATCTCTAGCAAAGACTTTCGAGCCTACTATATGATATACGAGACATTAAAGTTACATAAATCTCGCCGCATGCATTTGGAGATCTGTCAGTTCAATTACGTCGAACCTACACGCTGTCATAATTGTTGAATACAGCAGTATATATATGTATATATATATATTCTGTGACTACAGTTTCAATTCCCGTTTAACAGCTATGTGATTACAGGTGTTATTTGAGAGTCCTTTTTAACCCATGAAGCAAACAAAGGAGTAATGTAGGCTTAACGCGTGTTTCTGCATATCCATGTCTGTCTGTGGCATCGTGCGCCCAAACAGATGAACCAATTTTGTTTTTTTTTAATGTGAATTGCTCGTGAGTGTCGAAATCGTGATTGAAGAAAATCTGTTCAGATATTTAAGAAATATTAGCTATTTTCCAGTTGATGCGGGAAAAAGAGCAACTTCCACAGGACTAATCGAATTTAAATTCGATATCCTTGTTACTTCAATGATATTGCAAGAATATGGTAAACCTTGACCTTGTGCGGAGGCACGCTACGTGGAATCTGGGAATCTGCAGCTTACCCAACTCCTCACCAACTTACAGCTGAGGTATCCGAAATAGTATCGTTTGTGGCGAATTAGTGTATGAATGTGTGTAAGTGAATGAAGGAATTATAAGATTTTATTTATTTTATATGGCTGTTTTTTCTTTCACGGTTTTTAACATTTTTAATTTAAGTTTTATATATGATATTATTTTAGATTAATTTAAAATCAGGTGTTTTCACTTTTCAGTAAGGGCTAAAATAGCTATGAAACCTATTAATTAGGAGGCTATTTGAACGCTATCATTAAAAAAAACTTTTATAATTTCGTTTCCAAGATAACAAGCCTAAGCTTCCTAACATTAAATATTTTGATTTAGCATTGGTTCAGTGGCATAACTTTTTTTCTCTTTATTTACGTCACTTACCTGTCACCAATATTGTGAAAAATAGGGAAACAAACGCAATACCCTATGTGGTAAGCGGAGAATAACTGCGCCATTTTAATATCATTCCAATGCATTACATCGAGGATCGTCTATTTGAAAGAAAGTCCTTGATAAAGAATCCGTGTGTTTCAAAATCAATAAATATTCAAGGAAAGTTTAAACACTAAACTTACCCCTTTCCTTGTATCGTATAGAAGCTTTTCGTTAGTTTCATTAAAGTTTAATAATTTTTTAAGTACCTCCCTGTTTGAAATATACACCATGTCAATTATATGAACGCTAAGATTGTATCGGACGATATATATCAAGAAGTAACCTAAAAATATCATAATTCCAACCTTCAAATACTAATAAATATTACAATAAATCGACTTTACTGTTACCGTAATTTTAAATAGTGTCATGCACTTACTATCACACGGACTCTGATTTTGAACATCGTTGAAAAGTCAAGGATAATTTCCAAAGTCTTCATTGAGTGGCATGACCTTAGTGATTCGCTGAAATGGTTCTAAGGTTATAATTTAAGTTGTCATAGATCATAAATCTGTACAGATTGTATTAAAATTTTCGAATACCAATCGGTAAACTAAAAAAAAAGTACAATGCAGTTGGACATAATATTTAATCTTTACATAACATCACATCATTTTGTATTCAAATTCTGTTTTACTTTATTAACTAACTTACATGACCATCGTTTTAAAATAGTTTAAAAAATAAATTATTGATCACACCCTCTTTTGAACAAGTGTCTTGTAAAGGACGCACATAAGCGAGGGGTTCACATACAGAGCAAATACCGCGATGCCGACGTCGGTAGTACTAGGTATAGGCAGTACTAAACTTCACTCTTGAGACGGTGAGCAACATCATTGTTTCCCAAACAATCAATTTAATCTAATTTACGAACAAAATTTTACATTGAACTCGAAAAACGAGTGTTTCTTTTCCAAAATTGTAATATTAATAAATTGTGTAACCGTTTTAGGAATACAGATTCACTGACTTAAACGCCGAATATATGCATTCAAAGGAAATTAGAATTCGAAATACACACAAATCTTTTTCATACTATAAAACGACAATTTGTAGGTAAGTAAAAATTTAATAATTAAGTCAGAACTCATAAAAATGACAAAGACGTTAAAACAGTTTTACATATTAATAGTTAAATTAACATCAGTCTGCAGAACCTATGATTTGAATATTGCTCTGCTTTCTACATCTCCGTTGTTTTAATAAATAGTTTAATTGTAATGGACGGAAATACTGAGAAAATCCTAGCTATTAACTTTATTAGACTAATATTTTACTGCGGCTCTCTACACGCTATCTGATGAAATCTGATATCTATATGATAAAAATGAAATAATTTATAAATTCAAACAGTTTTTTGGTAATAATAATCACAGTCATAATTACACACTTTGCAATAATAAATTCTATAAATTACGCAATATTCATAATGGTTTATTAAATAATATTCACGCGATCACAAGTCAATATACTAACATTTAAATATTAATTTGTTTTAAACTAACTACTTATCATTCGTCAGGTATTCCTCTTGGCATTTAAAAAGTGGTCGAAAGCATATATCTGTAATTTACTAACAAAATTAAACAATACAAAATTTTCGATATTTGCCTTTTGGTTTAAATTAATGATATATTTTGCTACGACACTTTTGTTTTACTCATTTGCTATCTTCCATCGACGAAGAAGAATTTACGACGAAACGCTCAAAGAAGTGTCTTTACTTTGGAATTTATCGTTTTTGATTGTCATTTCACTCATCTCTTTGTGTTCATTCTGCTTATTTTTATCACTATCATCGTTGTCTACAAAGTTCCAGGGCTGTATATTGCCAGTACCGAATAAAACGAAGAAAACTGCCGCTAAAATGTAAACTGATGCTCCCACAAAAAATACTGGCCTCCAATGGTCAAAAGTATTCTAAAAGAAAATATAATTATTTAATTTTTTACACATTATATTTCATAAATGAAACTACGTTATAAAATATTTACCCCATTTCGTGTAAAATACGCTGTTATCATAGGTGTGATAAATCCAGCCGTACTTCCAACAAAATTAGCAATTCCGTATAAAGTTCCCGCATAGTTTGGTGCTAAATCTTGATGATTTTGTAGATTCGTTAGCGTTGCGGCTCCATTCATACCCATTGACATCGTAATCATTGTTACGGATAATGCTGTTGAGCAGCCAGTGTAAACCAAAAGAATAAGCAGCACCCCAGGTAAAATGTGTGAGAACAAACAGAAGAATTTCCTTATAGTACTTGTGGTCATTAATTTCTTTGATAATATACAGTCGCCAATTGCTCCGAATATAGTGGCAAAGATCAGTCTTGCAAGGTAAGGCAAAGCCGATATAATTCCAGCGGAAGATAATTCAAAACCAAGTACACTTGATACAAACTTCGGTCCAACAGTCATTATAAAGTACAAACCCCACATATTGCCGTAATGAAGAACTGTCATGGCTAAGAATGGAATTGACGTAATAATGCTCTTAAACGGCGGTAAACCCTGAAAAAAGGTAGTGTTTTATGATTTAAATATGTATAATGATTTTGATGAGGATGACGATGACGATGATAACGTCGCCAAGTTATCATTAGAAGTAATTATCAGTACAGGAATGTTAATGTCCTAGTTATTAGGTGAAACATCGCTTTTAAAATTCTTCCATATGATTATCACGCGCTGTGCGCAAGAGAAAATATGATCGTGAAGAAACCTGCATAAGGTTTCTTCACGATCATATTTTCCCTTGGGAGAATTTTTTTTCAGGACATATACATGCATCTACTCCCATTGAAGCTCCAATATTACATATCCCCAATAATGGACAAAACATGTTTGATGAATAATGAGTGTCTCTCCGAATTCACTCCAATCTTTTTACATTGTAAATATTAAGTTAATAATAACTCGACCACAGCGCCCCTACTGGCTAGTTTTCCTGGCATTAAACCAATACAACTCATTTAGTTTCATGAATATAAAATTTGTTAAAAACTTGGCTACAGCACCACCATCGGACCCTACCAAAACAAATATTATGCAATATAGAAATGAACTCAATCGGTGAAGTCGTTCATAAGTTACACGATCAGTAACCTTTTTATAGAATACGGGTGACACACGAACACAGGTGGACTGTGTGTATGGAAAGTGTATATTGTAGCCCACAGACATTTACCTTAGTCCAAAATCAAAATGGAAATGCGTTGTAACCCCTGAGGTCTAAGATGAAATGCCTCATTCCCAGTGAAAAGAGTCCGGTTCTCTACACTTACCATACAAAACACAACACGCTTATATTATGTGAAGGTGTGGTCCTTCCCTGTTCGTGCTGACCCATTCGTGCTACAACCACAATATCGCTGTAGTATGCCTCTATCGCGTATAAAATAATAATGCATAATAAGTATATTACTTATGGTAATAAAAAAAAATGCATTAAAGGTGAAGAATTGATCATATCAATTTATGTAACAGTTTTGATACAACATATAATGAAAGTTATAACATCTATTTGAACGTTTTTACATGGTGTATTCTTCATTGTACAACCTCTTAGTAGAATCGTTTACGACCAGCGATTTTTCCGGACTGATACGACTTAAGAACCTTTAAGATAAGAGCTTACTCCTTTCTAAAAGGCCGGCAACGCACCTGCATGAATTCTCTTGGTATTTCATTTGTTCATTGCCGGCGGTAGTCACTTACCATCAGGTGAGCCGCATGCTCGTTTGCCCACTCTTCTATAAAGAAGATTTGTTATTATCATATTGTCATGAATTTCTTATTATCATATTGTCAGCACCATTAATAAAAAACAATCTAAAAGTGATGTACAAATAACACACACAAATAGTACCTTACCTTTGAATTTTTAACATTGTTTCCGAGAGCGTCTAAGATATACTTCCTCTCTTGCTCTGATATGCGTGGATGCTCTGCTGGCGTATCTGCTACTAAGTACCACCAAAATGCACACCAAACAAACGTTATGGCAGCTGGGACATAAAAGGCGTACGACCACCCATACTTCTCCAGAAGGGGTCCAGTTAACGACCATGTCAGTACTGTGCCCAACGTGCCGCCCATCATAGCGCTCATAAATTTCCCTTTTTCTGCTGGTGGCGCCCATCTAGCCACTAATGAGTGAAGTGCCGGATATATGAAACCCTAAAATCAAAAGATATTGAAAATTTACAAGTATTATTCTTCTTCTTTTTATTTTTAGTATGAAAAAAATTATTGTTATTATTATTAGGTTTAAAAAAATCTACAGCTGGGCTTGTACCATTTCCATTGTAGGAGGCATTTTCCTCAATTGTCACGCTTGTCGGGCGATTTGCGGTCGATCACATTTGCGGTCGTTCACATTTGCGGTTGATCACATTTGCGGTCGATCACATTTGCGGTCGATCACATTTTCAGACGTCTCGCACCTCTGACGCTGCTCTGCGTGGCTGATTTATATATATTTTACGTGTGGCGTTAAAAGGTATCGCATCAGGTCAGTCGGAAGCTATAATATCTTTCAAGTATTTCCCATGTCCGACTGTCTCGCCTTATCTTAACTAAAGTATAAGTCTAATTCATCTAAATGAAATAAACACCATAAATACATAGAAAATATTTGTTGTTATTGTGTATTAAATTAACCCAAGGAAACGTTCGCCGTGGTATATCAAGGGCTAAGCGCTATCTGTAAAGTTCAAAGTACGTGAGCAACCCGGGTTCGATTTCCGCAGGCGTCAAAAAATTGTTAATTGCAATTTCAAGTGCTGACTTACCACGTGCTTGGTGGTGAAGGAAAACATCGTGGGGAAACCTCTATGCCTGAGAAATAAGAAAAAATAATATTTCGACGACATGTGAAGTTCGCCAAACGCATTGGGACATTTCTTTACTCTATAACCCTCTCAAATGAGAGAAGGCCTGTGCCCAGCCGTTAGACGTACGAAGGCTCTTATTTTTAATTTAACTTTGTAAGGATTCGTCAGCAATTGTATGTATACTATTTCTGTTCGATTTTAAATTTGAAAGTTGAAGAATGCGGATTAAGAATGGGTGAGTTAACCTTTTGTACGCCGATGATCAAGTTATTTTTGCATCGTCGGCGGCCGAGTTGCAAATAATGGTTACATTAATGAACAGGTTATTAAAAGAAAGGGGTATGAAAGTGAACGCAAGTAAGATGAAAGTTATGATTTTTGAAAGAGAAGAAAGTAAAACGATATATGAAATAGGAATAGAAGTAGGGTTAATCAAGCAAGTAGATGAGTTTGTATATTTGGGATGCGTATTTAGCAGGGATGGGTGATATGATAAGGATATAGACGAGTGAACGCAGAAAATAAAGTAAATGGGGCTCTACACTTTGTTGTGGAAAGCCAGAATGTGTCAAAAAGCTAACAATCCACATAGACGGCCTCTTGATTCTTCTGACCATCTTTTAGGTGGTACGCGGCTCCTTTTCTACCCAAGGTAGGCATAACCCGGCACGTATAGCAATTCACAAAGCTGTGTTAGTTCCTAATTTAACTTATGGTAGTGAAAGTTGGGTGTGGTAGAAGAAACACGAGAGTAGAATAAACGCAGTAGAAATGCGATCTTTAAGGAGTGTGTTAAGGCTGAACCTGAGTGACAGGGTGAGAAATTGTATGATAAGAGAAGAGTGTGGTTTGCAAGATGGTGTTGTGACCAGGATTAAGAAAGGAATGCTTCGGTGGTTTGGTCATGTGAAAAGAATAAATGAGGAAGAGTGACAAAGCAAATTTATGATGCAGAAGTGAACGGCAGAGTCGGAAAGGGACGTCCTAGGCGAAAGTTTATCGATCAAATAGGCGATATATTGAAATAGTTGTATCAAAAATCAAACAGGATCGTGCCAAATGGAAGTCTCTGTCTACCCCTCTGGGTAATAGGCGTGATTGTTTATGTATATTTTATATTTACGAATAATTAAATTTACGATAAATGTAATTATTTTATGACTAAATAAAATCAAAAAAATTACATAAGACTCAATGATTAAGTGCAGCTGCATACTAAATAGCAAATACGGACTTAAATTCTAGACAAAAAATTAATAAGAGAGGTGAAGTAAAAAGTAATGACAGTAATAAAAACGCAAATTTTGCGAAGTTAATTTTTTATTCACCTTGTTGCAATTCATCGTTAAAGGAAAGTGTGAATTTGTTAAATAGTTCAGAATTATGAGAATTTATCAACCTTTTAAGTCCCGTTGCTGATGTCATAAGATTGGTTGGTATCATTGAAAGGGTAGTACATAGACACCGTCACCATTCGGAATATATTTTTACTTTTTTCTGTTGAACGACAGCATCAAATAACAGTTTTTACTTTTAAAAATTAAACTTTAAAATGGTAGGATTCTCAAAAAACTGTTAAAATTAGAAAAAAATAGATTCCTAAAGCTACTGGCAGGAAAGGTAAAAGCGTTATTATTAATAATATTTTTATGGAATAAGCGTGTCAAACGCGCACACAGTCAACTTGATGGTAAGTGGATGCTGTGAGCCATACCTAGAAATCCACATCTATTCTCGATTATGTATTAAGATGCAGTAACGTTGTCACTCGTGAGGACTAAGATGAAATGCCTCTTTGCTAGTAAAATGTGTCACCGAATCTTTGCACTCACCATACAAAACACGGCAGCATTAAGCTGCTATTTTACGCTGGTATTCTTTGAGAGCGTGGTCATGCCTAGGTCGAGCCGACTCATTCGTGCTACCAATCATAATATTGCTGCAGCTTGGCTTGCACGTAAATGCAGAAATAATGGGGAAAAAACTTAAAGTAGGTAAACTTAAACCTAATAACGGTAACAAAACAATTTATGATGAGAGATTATGGTATTAAATTATAAAGAATATTGTTCTCGTGCAATGAACAATGCTCGTATCCATTTGTATACCACTAAATGACGTTGCAAACAATTGATGCGTCACATCAATAAACCACTCTGGATATTTGCCATTCAATTTTTTATGTTTCGGACTAAAAGTTATCATGCAGTGCTTCCGAACACTGTGTTCCAAACAAAATGTACTCACATGAGTAGATAAAGTCTACTCACGTGGTACAGTGGTATTGCATGAGTTACTGCCAGTCGGTACCACCAGAGCCAAAAATTACGGTCCGTATTTGTCTTCTACATTATAGCACATGAGTCTCATGTGATTACAGTCTCTATATTATTTAGAACTTAATAAAAAATCTTTAGTAAGAGTATGAAGATTATATCTATTTTCTGAACTTTGCAATGATCATGTACGTAAGATTTTGAACCGACTTCAAAAAAGGCGGAAGCTATCATTTGTCGGAATATTTTTTTAAATATATTCAGCGATAGTTCTTTACCGCGTTGTCTGATTTAAAATATTGTCTTTTTGTTAGAAAATTGAGGTACCCAAGGGTGGCCCTATTGTTCTTTTATAGAATAAGGGTGAAACACTAGCATACAGTTCATCTGATGGTAAGTGGATGCTGTGGCCTATACACATCTATATTTATTTTCCATTAAGAAAATGCAGATGTGTTGTTACCCCTGAGGACTAAGATGGAATGCCTTGTTTCCATTGAAAAAGGCCTCCGGCACTCTACACCCACCACGCGTATTTTACGCTGGTATCTATGATAGCGCGGGCCTACCCCGGTCAAACCGACCCATTCATGCTTTAACCATAATGCAGCATGGTTATAGCTGCAACCACTTGTAAATTAATCAAAATAGGATGACTGGATCCATGATAAATTTTATTATTAACCTCTTCAATTTTCATAGGCTTCTCGACTGCACGATATATGGGCAAAACTTTGATTATATACTTGGGGCGAAACTTGGAGACGTGTCACTTAGTGGTCACAAAATAAAAAGAAATTATATCAATGAAACAAGTTTTTTTTTTTTTTAAATCTTACCCCAGCAAATCCTAGTAAGAAGCGTGTGACTATGAGGGCCACATAATCCCATCTCGCAGCAATCGGAGCCAAAGCTGTCAACACCGCACTTGAAATAGTTGAGATAAATACTACGTATCTTGGACCCCAACGCTCAGCAGCCGTACCCCCCACCAGAGACGTAATGATGTAGCTCCAAAAATAAGCACCGAGGATCGTAGCCTGTTGTTCCGTTGACCAATCGAATTTTGTGTCACCAGAATCCTAGAAACATTTGTTTTAGATTTTTTTTATTTTTTTATTTTCTATACATGAATAATAACTGATGATTTGTGTATATCTACATATATACAAGTCAACGTACAACTAAGGAGTATCTGATTTTTTTCTTTTTATATTATGCGTAATTTATTTATAATTATCTTTAGAGTAAACTACAACTTTAAAAAAGGCCATTAAGGATAAAAAAACATTCAATTCAAAATGTTGATAGTGACTGTCTACAATTTATTGAGCATAAAAGTAGTTACTAAAATAGGTTGAGGTTGGAATATATAACTTGCAAAACCAGTTGAAAACCCCCATAACATAAAATTCTATTCTATTCTCATAATTATTTGTTTTATACACACTACCATAATATACTCATAATTATTTGTTTTACACACTACCATATAGTTTGTATACATTTTTTTATTTGTGAACCTATTTCCCTTTTAGATAATTAGCTCCTAGTGAATTTCTTACGGTGACATCATCCAGGACTTGAGAGTAGGGAGAGAGGTTCTAAAATATTTATTTCCACGGCTTTTATATTTTTCGCTTTTGTGTTAACACAGTGGCAGTTACACGTCTCTACTTTCTAATATATAATTTTTTACTTTAATTACTTTATAATTTTCACGGTAGGTGTAAAATTTAATAGCTGACTGTTCATAAAATTGCTTTATGTTGATTGTACTTTTCCTTCCCTTTAAGTGGTAATCAGTTTACCGATAATATTAATGACATTGGCATGTAAGCAACACACTGGCCTCTGACAACTTAGAATAATTTGCCGACATCACCGCGTTCTTATAACAAGACATCTTGCACCTTACGTAAGAAAAAGTACTACTTTGCAACTTCTTGCATAAATAAACTTGGCAACAATCACGACTCCCCAATTTCATTGTGTAATTAATTCTATTAACTTATACATATAAATAAATAATAAATATATTTGACAGTTCGTAAGCGAGTAACTGGGGATCGATCCCCGCCGGCACCAATGAAATTTTTAATTGCAATATTATGTGCTGATTTACCACGTGCTCGGCGGTTAAACAAACATCGTAAGGAAACCTTGCAAATCTGAGAAATAAGAATAAAATATATTTCCAAGACATGTGAAATTCGCCAACACGCTTTGTAACACCAGCGCGGCGGACATTTCTTTGCGCTAAACCCTCTCAGAAATGAATGGAAGCCTGCGCCCAGCAGTGGGACGTATATAGGCTGTAACTTTCTTAACTATACATATAAATAAGCTCAGGGCGTTATTTCCAAGATATAAATAAGCTTTTTTAAATTTTTGTCTGTTCCGCCCGGGCTAGTCTTGCAATGGGTGAATCTAATGTTATTAACAGTTTACGAACAGATGGAGAGCAATGCCAAGAAGTACTAGGCTATATTTTATGCAAAAAATATACATTTTTAACATTATGTACAATTTTTTATAGGATAGGATGACAAACGAGCACACAGTCCACCTGATGGTAAGTGGTTGCTGTGGCCCATAGACATCTACATCTATCCTCGATTACAAATCAAAATGCAGATGCGTTGGCATCCGTGAGGACTTAGGTGGAATGCCTCGTTTCCAGTAAAGGCTGTTGATTAATTATATTTAAAAAAAATGGTTGACCCTGCAGGCCATCCCTGGAACTTCCCGCTAATTTTAAATGCAAAGCGCTCCAAATTTCACCAAATTATTTTGCAAAATCTCGAAGTTATGTTAAAAAAAACGTTTTTTTTTGCAAATTGTTTCTCCTTCGATATCTCACGAACGAATGAACCGATTTTTATTTTCCAAACGGCATTCGACGTCATGTTTTGAGGTTAAAAGCTGTATTGATCGGTAAACCCGTTTAAAAGTTATTTAAAAAAAACCCGTTTAAAAGTTTTTCAAAATTTTTATTTTTGAGATTTCTCAAAATCATCGTAACTCGTCCGAATTAGTTCATATTATCACCAAATGTATTACACATTGAGATCTTTAGAATGCCGCAAACCGCATCTGAGTCGATCAAGACGTTCAAACGTTCACACACACACACACACAGACACACACACACACACAAACACACACACACACACACACACACACACACACACACACACACACACACACACACACACACACACACACACACACACACACACACACACACACGCAAGCACGCACGCACGCACGCACGCACGCAGCCCCGCAAGCACGTACGCAGCCACGCACGCACGCACGCACGCACGCACACACACACACACACACGTCGAGACGCACGCACGCACGCACGCACGAAAAAAAATGGTTTTGATTGTCATCAATCGAAATAACGTCATATTAATGAAACCTAATACTGTGAATAAGAACATTGACGGAATAAAAAGCGGTTTAATTAACGTAATCTCGCCTGTTCATTAAAAAGGTTAAAATGAGTAAATTACAGAAACCGAACTCTACCTGAATATTTAATTATAGCATTTGAAAGAATAATTTTGAAACGAATATTAAAATAACTAAAAGTTTAATATAAAAAGTAGTCTAATGAAGAACTCAAACAAAAGGTTTTAGAAAATCTTTGTGTTGAGGTTCCCATAGATAATACAGTATAAATTCAAGGCTGATTCACTAACATACACTGCCAAATAAAGACAAAAAAATTAAAGCAAATACAGACAATATTTTTTGTATCAGTGCGATAACCAAAACCGGATTACGACCGTTGCCTTTTATGTGAATTTTGCCATACCTTTTTAGCTGCTCTTGAAGTAATTTTTTGTGTTAATTTGTATCATAACTGAAATCTTTAAACGAATCAGATATTAGAGTGATCACAGATTAAAGCGTGGCTTCTGAGATGGTTTTGACCAACAACATTAACTCAAAACTATTTAAGCATATGCATGTTCGAAGTCAGATATCCGCTTATACACATTATACTTACTTATATACGTAAATACACAAATTATTTTTCCCTTATTTACAATAAAATGTTATAATAAATTACAAAATAAAACAGTAATTTGAAAATTACCTTCAAAAGTACATAAGAAAAAAAACATAATTGTATAATTTACCCTGTTTAGTGTAAGAGAATCTGTCACCCAATTTCGCCTCTTGAGTATCGTAAGAGACTAGCAAAAGGTCAATAGTAAAAATCTATTGATTTCCTAAGGACCTTTAAAAGTACATTAAAGAAACATAATTGTATAATTTACCCTGTTCAATGTAAGAGAATCTGTCACCCAATTTCGCCTCTTGAGTATCGTAAGAGACTAGCAAAAGGTCAATGGTAAAAATCTATTGATTTCCTAAGGACCTTTAAAAGTACATTAAAGAAACACAATTGTATAATTTACCCTGTTCAATGTAAGAGAATCTATCACCCAATTTCCCCTCTTGAGTATCGTAAGAGGCGACTAGGAAAAGGTCAGGCAAAAATCTTATGGCTTCCGAAGGATGGTGATATACGGAACAAACTATCTTGTATACGCCAGACGTAAAACATCCAGATTGGCGATGGTCATCAGCTTCAAAATTATGACACCTTTCATAATGCAATCGTCAGTCCACCTGACAAGCGTGAACATTAAGGCCAATACTCCTTAAAACGGGCCCAAGGCCCAAGTCCATGTAAACTTATACGGGTTGATGATGAAGAAGAAGAAGAAGCATAATAGTACCTGTCTCGGAGCCTCTCTAATTTCTGCAATATCGGCGTTATGAATACTCTTATTGACCATCACATCATCCTGTGGACCGCATTGGGAACGAACCCTGTTACAAAAATTTCAAACATATAATAATTTTTTGTAGTATTGTACACTATACTTAACAAATATGATACCCAGTTTCATCATCATAAGTTTTTCACAAATCCACTGCTGCTGTAGGTACTACACTAAACACAGTCCTGAGCCACCTGCGTGTATCGATTTTCTAATTTTCTTACTAGATCCACACTCCATCTAGTGGTAGGCCGGTACGAGGCTGCCACTCAGATACTTTAGTCCCTATCTGTTATCAATTCTTCGAGCTATATGGCCCGCTCATTGGTTATTCGTTGAACTATGTCAGTTACTCAGGACCACACCACAAATCGGTTACGTCGTGAACCAGGTCCAAATATCTTAACAACTTATGTCTTTTAACTTTCATGTGGTTTTCATAACTTATATGGAATGGTAATGGTAAATTATTATTTCAAATGATGAGAATTTTGAACACCTTAAGTTGAAACCGGGTACAGAATGAAATTAAGTAAAGTAGTCTTTTCCTTTTACTTAGCCGCTGCAAGGTACTCGTAATAAACCTTAGTTACTATAACAAAATTTGTTAGATGAGTCAGCAGAACCTAAAGGTATGAGTATACGAGGCGGCACTGAAAATTTCGGGAATCAAGGAAGTGACACAACATTACTATTTAAAAATGTATTTATTGCTTTTCGAAGTATTCTCCGCGAAATTTGACACATTTTTCCATACGATGGAACCAATCATTGAAGGAACCATTCCATTCGGAAGTTGGGGTCTCCAAAATGGCCGTTTTGTAGGCGTCCACAGCTTCTTCAGGTGATGAAAATCTCTGTCCACGCAATTTATTCTTTATTTTAGGGAAAGTATAGAAATCATTAGGGCTTAGGTCGGGGCTGTACGGCGGATGGTCTAATAATTCTGTTTTCTTGCTCTAAAAACTCTTTTGTTCTATGTGCGGTGTGAGAACTCGCATTGTCGTGATGGAGGATGATGCGGCGGTTGCAGTTCTCTTTACGGAGTTCAGAAACGACCTGTGGCAAACAAATGCTAGCATACCATTCTGCATTAACCGTTCTTTGTCCTTCAAGAGGAATAGTCGTAACATGAACGGTTTTGGAGACAAACGTGGCCACCATTTTTTTACAACACTCCGTGGACGAACAATTGTTGTTGGCTTTAACTCATTTTCGAACACCCAAACTCGTGACTGGTTTTATGTTTTGGGTTCGTAAGCGTATATCCAGGATTCGTCACCTGATACAATGTTATATATAGCATTTGAGGATCCTGCGTGGAATCTTTCAAGAGTTCTGACGCACCAAGTAACGCGAGCCGCTTTTTGCTCTTCACAGAGCGAATGCGGTATCCATCGGGAAAACAACTTTTTTTACACCTAATTGTTCATGCAAGATTATTTGTATTTGACTCATGCCAATGTCTAAAGTTGCCTAAATTTCGGGGTATGTCACATGTCGATCTTATTCAATCAGATTACGCTCAGCATCAACGTTTTCTTGGGTGACTGCAGTTTTTGGACGACCTTGACGGGGATCATCACTGAGCTTGACACGTCCACGTTGAAATTCAACAAATTAGCGATAAATTGTGGTTTTGGGTGGGGTTTCATCACCAAATGCAGAAATCATCCACTCAACACACTATTTTTGTGTTAAACCACTTCGAAAGTCATAATAAATCATCGCTCTTGAATTTTCTCGAGTCAATTCCATTTTCTCAACGACTAAACAAGTTTGACAAAACATTGTGACAAGACTGAGAAGCTTTTTTTTAAATAAATAAATGGTATTCGATTTTCAAAACCAAGGAGTTTTCAATTAAAAAGATTTTAATATGACAGGAAAAGTGGAAATATTCCATTCCCGATACTTTTAGTGCAGCCTAGTACGACCTTACACAACAAAACAATCCATCATTATACACATATTATGATGGTAAAAGCAATGGTCCAAAAGTCTAGTTTAGTGTCATCCACCCCATCTTTATCTAGATCATTAAAATATTTCTACATAACACGAAAAACGAAAAACTAATGTACATTGGATAAAACTAGTGTAAATTTAAATATTTAAGTAATGTCTGCCGTTTCGAGCATACAAATCTAGAAAAACGATTTGTTTTCCTCATTTGCTTAGTACAAAGTAAATCTACAAAAAAAGAGGAATGGCATCATAACTAAACATATATGAAGCTTTAGTTTAAATGATGAAATATTTTTAAAATATCACGATAAGATTTTTTTTTTTAAATAAAGTTTGTACTTACGAGACATTTCTAGATGGTGATGGCACCATGGCGATTAGATTCAGGCTCATATTTACTCGGAGCATGTATGCAATCCAGCAACTTGTAAAAATCATTAACCACACATTTAGTCTCGCGGGGACCACGTCTGAAATAACAAGCAAATTATTACCTACATGTATTCATAAACTCTCACACCCGGATAACAGGAGTAGGCAGAAACTATGGACCTCTCTTCGCTTTTTAAACCCCAACGAAAACTACGGATGTTATATGTGTGTAGTGTGTAGCTTTGTGTATATCTGTAGCATCGTAGCTCCTGAACGTATTAACCGATTTTAATTAAGTTTTTTTTTATTTTTTTTTTCGTTTGAATGGTATCTTAATCGACAGGGTTTTTTAGCTATGTTTCCAGAAAATCGTCTGAAGATCAGCTCTTTTTGTTTTGGGTTTTTTTTTAATTTTTATTTTAGTTATTCACATCCTATGCACTCGATGGTTAGGGGTGCTCTTAATTTAATCCGTCTTCAATATATAATCAATTCACCGATAAACTTCCGTCTAGGGACAAAGGGCGTCCCTTGTCGAATCTGTCACCATTAACTTGCTTTGTCACACTTTCCTCATTCATTCTATTATTGTTTACCTAACACAGCAATGGGCGCAGGCGGTCGAGTCCAAGGAGGAAGCCTTGGTGGTTAATTAGGACATAGCGAAAGCCTTCGATCGGATTTGGCACAAATCGTTTCTACCATCTTATGGGCATCCCGAGAAATTGTGCAATTGGATCACCAGTTTTCTCGCTGATCGGAGCAACACGGTAGACGGTGCATGCTCCGATTACAAGCCTATCGATGCTGGTATTCCACAAGGCTGTGTGCTGTTTCTTCTGCATATCAATGATATGTTGCAAACCCGTAATATTCATTACTATGCGGACGACAGCACAGGTGATGCTTTTTATATCGGCTTTATGCGTTTCATCTAGTACCGGAACAAACTTGTGTCTGAAGTCGAGTCATTGTTAAACAAACTCTCACATTGGAGACGACTAAATTTAATTCAGTTTAACCCACAGAAGACTCAGGTTTGCGCGTTTATCGATAAAAAAAACCTTTTTACTGGAAACGAGGCATTCCATCTTAGTCCTCACGGGTGACAACGCATCTGCATTTTGATTTGTAGTCGAGGATAGATGTAGATGTCTATGGGCCGCAGCAACCACTTACCATCAAGTGGACTATGTGCTCGTTTGTCACCTTATCCTATAAAAAAGTAATATTTACTCTCTGCCCTGCATTTACATGGCATATTATCAATGAAATCTAATAAGAGGGACAGAAGGCACAACAACCATATAATAGTTATTTGCTAGAAAAGAAAACACATAGGCACGGCGCAAGAGGAGGCAGAGGTAAAAGTGATAAATTACTGCTCTGTCTTCTGCACAGCCTATAAATGTGACGATGACAGTAAATGAACTATGAAATATTTACAATGATGATGAGCATAGGTGATAGCTTTTATGTGGTAAAGCCATGCTGAGACTGTATTATGGTTGTAGTACGAATGGGTTGGCTAGACCGGGGAAGGACCACTCTCTCACAGAATACCAGCGTTAAATCGCAACTCAGTGCTGCTGTGTTTCTTATGGTCAATGTAGAGAACCGGATTCCCTTTTTACTAGAAATAAGGCATTCCATCTTATTTGGTGTGATAATAATATTAAATATTATCATATACTTGAGACTACCGCGTTGGTCTAGTGGTTGTAGTAGTGCGACTGCTGATCATGAGGTCCTGGGTTCGAATCCCAGGTCATGCCAAAAAAATTAATTACGAGTATTGAGTTTTTCCGTCAAGAAATTCTCAGTAGTTGCCCAGAGTGAGGAAGTTGGCGGTGTCTCACCCCCGTGCCTCTGAAAGCACGTAAAGCCGTTGGTCCTGCGCCTGATCTCTCTCCGGTCGTGTCGGATTACCGTCCCATCGGTTTATAAGAGTGAGAGAATAGAGAGTACACCTGTGCTAGCGCTTACACAACACACTTGGGCACTATAATCCTGTCCTGCGCCGATGGCTAGTCTCCGTTGAGGCAGGCCGCCGTGGCCGAAATTCGGTCTGGTGGACATTATTATTATACTTGAGAGATGAGACTATTTTGCTACAATTTTATTATCTTGTAATTTTATTATTGTGTTGTCTTTAGAATCTGTACCACTTTAGCTGTGTAAATAAACATTTTTTTTCATTTACAATCTACAGATTCTATCAAGTGTGAACCGCAGAAATAACACACCCACTCCTAGTAAATTGAACGTTGTGGATAGTCAAAAATTACGAAGTTATAAATTAGAAATTTTTTAACTGCATCAAAATGTACCATGGTAGAAGGTGACTGAAGTTGATCCGAACAATTCCTGTAGTTATTTCGTTTAAATGTTTAATATATATATATATTAAACATTTAAACGAAAATTCCATACGAAAGTCATCATCACGCTGTATATATAGGTCATCAACCTTGTATAATGCTGATAAATGAAAATACCGAGACAGGTGCTCAGCAAAAAAGGCAGAAATGCCATCCATATGAAGACAAACTTGCGCCTTGAGCAAAAGCTAGGCTAGGTAAACATAACCTTTTAGCCACTGATTAGGCGTTGATTTCCAAAGTTAAGTTAGTCGATATCCCAAAGATAAAATTATAAGATATGGTGGAACCTTATTAAAGCTCCGAATAGCAAGAAAATTGTTGATCCGTTGCATAATTTTTTGATAAGCTTTGTACCAAAGTAATTTATTTTGAAAACTAAGAAGGTGCTCGCAATAAGCCTGTATTTGAACAGGTCTGTTCAGCAGCCTTTTTGAAACATCAGATACACTAAACTGGTTTCCAGAAGTTCAGTACGATAGCTTTGATGACTGGATCGAGTGGATCGAAGACGTTAAAAACCAATACTCACTCCGGAGTCTTTAACTCTATTGCAATGATTTCTTATATTTACGCGAACACTACACAAAGATAAAAACTACTTTTACGGATTTTGTCGCGTTTAATTCTAAATGATTTTTAATTCCTGACGTTTCAGGTGTTTTCCAGCACCTGCGTAGGACTGAGGTGACTGACGTCCCGATGTCAAAGTTAGCCCAGAGTACCTTTAGCTTTTTAATTATTATTTCCGTCCGATCTACGCAGAATGAACTTACTGTATCTTAAAGTCTTGCAGTGGTATACTTAGAATTAGTTCTAATTTTATTAATTAAAGGGTCCCAAACAGGTGGTAGTACCCAGCCTCCTTCTCTATTGAAATTAGAATGTTTTTTTAATTTGATTAGCCTCACGTATCATCCTTGGTAGATAATAATAGAGGAAATAGATTTTTTTATTATTTTACTTACAAAATATTACGCGTTTTTATCCCGTATGTTACAGTTTTTGAGATGGAATTTTTAAAAATTCTAAAAACTGTATTTCTTAGTCTTCAACCTTAGTCCCAAATAACATATAAACAATATAAAAAGTATTTGTACCTATTTTCATATACAAAAATCATTTAATACATTTTCTCTATACAAATATGAAACCGTAAAATAAAAAATAGCACCCTATTCCATTTTCAAAGGGCTTGAATTTTCCAAAATCCTTTTTCAGTGGATGCCTACATAATAGGAGGGACCTGTCTCAACTAAAAGTGATAGCAGTAATGAACATTGTTTAAACTTACTGTAAGTGTAATTCTTGTTTAATTAATTTAATATTTTAAGATTTACTTTTTAAGTAAATGCTGTAGTTTCGGAATTTTGAATTATTTCATCATCATCATCATCATCATTACAGCCCTTTACAAGTCCACTGCTGAAAATAGGCCTCCCCCAAGGTATGCCACAAAGCACGGTCCTGAGCCACCTGCATCCATCGACTTCCTGTATGTCTTACCAGGTCGTCACTCCATCTAGTGGGGGGTCGCCCTACACTTCGTTATTTAACTGATAATTTAATTTGAGATCTATAAATAGAGCTATTGATATTTGCTTACTCTGCTTCTTGTATATTCTGTCTTTGTTTTCTTTTTCTATTTACACTTAATAGTAAAATGAATACACGCAACGCCATAACGTGCCAAATGGAGAACCAATTTCAAATTCCAGCACCTTTCCAGCGCTTCAAGAACTTAAGGCGTCAAAGGGGCAGTGTGAGTAGTTGCTTAGATGACAATAACAAGGAAATAATAAATATAATTGCCAAAAATAATCAGTTAAAAAGTGATATCGTAAAGTAGCATAAAGAATATACAAATTTTTGAAAAGAAAGGCATTACTTTGAGGGAACAGTCGAGGAGTTTGACGGTCACGGTTAAGCGAAGTTCACGAGCAGATTGTGCAATTAAAACAATACTTATATAACTTAAAAGCATCCCAAACTCAGAGTCTGTTCAATGAGCTAAGAGAATATGAATCTTTTAAAACATTGCAACCCTCCACAACAATCGATTTGACTGATGATTTTGTCACATGCAGAAAGGACTTCTACTTTCAGTAGAAAAAAATTAAAGAAATACATAAAAATTAATAAATTTGTTGGAAAAATGCTAAAGTTTATTAAAACTAAAATTAATACTAAAGATTACAAAAATGTATAAAAATATTTAGCACTTAAAAACTCGAGGAAAATTAAAACTACGTCCTGCCGTCCTGTGGCTTGGGCTGTGCTGTGCGTCTTAATATAATATTTTATCATACTACTACCACTACCTAACTTTTTTTTTTGGAAAATAATACGCTTTATTATTTTATTCCAAAGTATTTTCGCCTGCTTTAATAAATGTAACCTGTGGAGAAAATAAAAAAACATTTTTTTTCTCCACAGGTAGGGGCTTGTTTAGAAAAATCCCAAAATGCGTATTTAAACACAAACTTTAAAACCCTATTTCATCCTCATATGGGTTTTTCAAAATCACTTCTTAGTGGATGCCAATATAATAATATTTATATCCATAAATAAAGTTATGTGTAAAACTCCAATATTAATATATTTATAATGATCGATATGTCGAAAATCCACTATTTTAAAAATATCAACAGTTTTAGTGTAAACTGATCAGTTAGAATGGTCAGTCACGGTAATATTATCTATACAGTATTGTAACT